TGCCAACCCACCGATCGATCGCCCGTTGCTTCCAACCATGACCACGCCCTTCCACGCATCCACCCCCCCACCCCACACACACACACATACACACACTTACTTTCTCCCTCTCTCTTATACATACTCATACACACACTCCACACCCCAGCCCACAACCGAACCCCAGCTATGCGAACTGTACGCTCCTTGACCTCCGCTCCCCTCACCCCCCGCTTCGCAAACCCACGCTGGTTGGTAAGGTTGGAAGCGAATCCGCTGTTGGCAACCGTGCACCACGGCAGTGATTGCACGGCCTCCCCCCCCCCCTTCCCCACCGCTGTATCCAGCCACAACAGCTACAGCAACACCCTCCCAACATCCTCCTTATCCCCTTCTCCTCACTCTTCCTCCCCCCTTCCTCCCCCCCCTCCACGCACCTCGCTCACCTGTGTCCCTTCCCTGCCCTCTCGGCGTGTGTACACACCTGTCTGCAGCTTGCACCCTCTGCAATGTTCCTTCGGGCAGTGCTTCTGTTGGCGTTGTTGGTGGCCGTTGCAGTGGCTCGACCGACCCGTTCCGGATACTGCGGTGCTGACCGCAAGTGCTTCACCTCCGCCGACTGCCATGGTACTGGTACAACTGACCCCGCAAGGAGAAGTGACGATGTCATTCCCCCGCTCTGCTGCAATGGTAAGCCCTGCTCCATCCCCCCTCCCCCCCCCCCCCCCCTCCCCTCCCCCGCTTTCCCCTCGCAGCGCAAAAAACAGTCGAGCCGCCTTCCGGCCATGACCCCCCCACCCGCGCACCCCCAGCCCCCACGCCCCTTTCCCCCCAACCCCCCCTCCACACACGCACACACACACTCCCCATATTCCCTCTTTCCCTCTCCCTCACCCCCTTCTCCCAAACCTCCCCCCTTCCCCTCCCCAACCCCCAACCCCAACCCCCTGTGTCCCTCTCGTCTCGACTGCGTTTCGCAACGCCACCGACTCACGGTTAACCCCCCCCCCCTTCCCTTTCCTGCTTCAGGCATGTGTGTGAAGAACAAGCCCAAGCGCAGCCTTGGTGAACTTTGCCATAGCCCGCCGCCTTCGTTGCCTTCCTTTGTGGCCGAGTTCCAGGATTGCTTTGGTGAGTGTGATGAGCCAGGCTTCTTTGCCTGCAAGAACGGGCTCTGCGAGCGCGAGTTTGCCACCGGCAACACCGCTGCCGGCTGCGCGTGCTCTGCCGACTCGTGGTGCCAGTCGGGCATCTGCATCGGAGCCTCTGGAAGCCTCTCCGGCACATGCCGGCCGGGCAACCTTCCTCCGGGCGCGTCGTGCACCCACGACCGCCAGTGCTCTTCGCTCGGCTCGTTTGAGGCTGCCAACCGGACGACGGCGTGCGTCAACGGCGTGTGCGCCGGCATCGAGCCGACCGCCACCTCGGGCATGCACTGCAACGCAAACAAGTACGATTGCGCGCAAGGTAACGCCTGCATTCTCGACCCGGTTGTTGGCGTGTACAACTGCTCTGCCCCGCGCGCCGCCGGCGAGGCCTGCTCCTTCCACCGCGAGTGCGCCACCGGCCTTGCCTGCAACTCGTCGGTCTGCATCACTGCCTTCTCGGCTCCGGCAGGCATGCCGTGCTCGGCCGACGTCGAGTGCGAGTCGCAGCACTGCTCGTCGCGTGGCGTCTGCTCGCTCGCGCCCAACTCGGTCCCTGACGGCCAGCCATGCCTCGACGGCGACATTGTGTGCCGCCCGGGCTCGCGCTGCGCCGGTCTCCGCAATCCAGTCTGCCAGCGCATCGCCGGCACTCCGTGCGACGTCTACGACTGGGGCGGCGCCTCGGTCTGCTCGGTCTCGGGCAAGACCGCCGTCTGCCGGTGCTCCGGCTCGTGGGGCAAGTGCGTTGCGCAGCAGCTCCAGTATGACGACCTCTGTCGCAAGGAGGCATTTGCCGTCGCCCGTCACTTTGGCCTCGCCGACGCCTCGGTCGCCCCCACCGCCGTCCTCAACACCGTCCTCGCTGCCCACGCCCACTCCTTCCCGGTCGCTGTCCAGACCGACATCGCCAAGTTTGTTTGCTGCGTCGGCTGCCTGCCCGACGATGCCAACAAGGACAAGGATTCGGGCCTCTATGGCCCCGTCCAGGCCTACCTCTCGTACCGCGTCCGCAACTGCGCGTCGGACACCCCGATCATCGAGGCCACAGACGCCACCACTACCAACCAGTGCACCGCCACAGAGATCTATCGCGAGAATGACATCGTCGGCTGCCCGGTCGTCCCGGTTGCCGGAAAGTCAACCTTTGAGAAGCACAAGGGCGCCATCATTGGCGGCAGTGTCGCCGGTGCCGTCGTTCTCGTTGCTATCGTCGCCGTCGTCGTCGCCGTTGTCCTCAAGGGCGGCGACAAGTCGTCTGCTCGCCCCAAGCCGGCCGATGACCCCGCCGTCGACATGGATGCCGTCAAGCCGGCCGACGAAATTGCTGTTGACGAGGTGTAGCCGACGCCTAACTTCAATACACACATACTTTCGCTCGCTGCTGTTATTCGCTTAGTAAGGCACAATGTGGCACCCCAGCAGCCCGCGTCCGGCCCACCGCCCGGGCACAAGCTCGAGCGCCAGCGACTTGCTCCCGCGCTCCACCACAACCGTCAGCGCCTTGCCCTCCGAGTTGGCAACGAGCGAGCCGATCGGGCCCATGGCCCCGCCCCAGTTGCGCGCGTCGATGTCGCCAATGCTCACTATCGCGTCGCCAACGCAGAGCCCAGCTGCTGCCGCCGGCGAGTTGTCGGCCACCGAGTTGACAACCGCGATCGGCGCAAGCCCAGCCGTCGCTGCCAGCGGCCCAGACTCGCGTGCATCCTCGCCGGCAACACTTGCCCTTGCCTCGGCTTCCGCCTTGCCTTTGCCATCCTCACGCCCGCCGGCGCTGCTGCTGCCTGCCGCCATCAGCGCAAATACGCCGTCCTCGATCCGCTTTGATAGCGCCCGGTGGTCGGTCTTCATCCGCGCCAACGTGTTGCGCGTCTGCCGCACCGTCACCACGTCGATGTCGTCTCGCGGAAAGCCGTTGCTGTCAACCAGGTTGCCGCTGAGCCCTGGCCCACCCTCGCCCGTCAGCGTCGACGCCAGCGCCGCCATCGACGCCTCGAGCGCGCTCCGCTCGTCGTACAGCGCCGCGAGCTCGGCGCGGCTCATCGGCACTCCTGCGCCCTGAAGACACGGCAGCGTCCACCGCTGAATCCCGTTCCGTGCCTCGCCAGACAAGTGCCCGGTGTACCCGTTGCTGTGCAACGTCCACACCCCAAGCTCCGGCGCCGGCGACGAAAAGTGCGTCACTCCGCCGAGCGGATACGGCTGCAGCGCAGAGCTACCCGGCACCCCTGCGCTGCCCTCCAAACACATAGCGAGTGCAAGGAGAACCGGCGCGTGCGACACAATGACCACGCACCTGCCCTTGCCCACCACCCCGCGCACCATCAGCGCATCGAGCACCCGCTGCGCACGCGTCACCAGCTCGCCCTCGGTCTCGGGAAACTGTGGCGCGTCGACAGACGCGTATCCGACATCAATGGTAGTGAGAGGCTCAAAGCCGTCGCTCTCGGCATCCGCTGCCTGCCACACCCCGTCGTAGTGGTCGCGCGCCGAGAACGGGCTGTACACGACCGGGACCTGCGAGCCCGGCCCGCCCACCAGCGACGGCGTCAGCCACTCGGTCAAGCCCATCTCCACGCCCATGGCAACACCGATCGTCTTGGCCACAACATGACCCGTCAGCGCAGCCCGCCTAAACGGCGAGCACAGCACCATGTCCGGCACAGGCACCACCAGCCCGCTCCCATCGCCGCCCGCTGCCAGCACTTCGCCCAGCGCCTCCGCCTGCCTCATCCCCTCTTCCGCCAACACCATGTCAAACGGCCCCACGTTCTCCACCAGCCCACATGCCCGCACTCCGTAGCGTGCTAGCACAATATGTGCCCGCTCCTCCTTCCCGTTGCTCATACGCTGCGTGAGAGGTGTGAGTGTTCGAGTCGCCCCTGCGCCGCGTCGGCGACGAGCAACAAGGCCCATGTGGTCCATCAATGAAGAGCACGTCCGATAGCGCAAGAAATGGCGGCGGCGATGGATGATGGGCAACGACTAACCATGGGCAACGACAAACCATGGGCAACGACAAACCATGGGCAACGACAAACCATGGGCATCGACTAACCATGGGCAACGACTAACCATGGGCAACGATCGTTCCATTGGTCGTCAGGTCGCCCCGCTCTCTTGCCACGGCTGCTTGACAGCCAACGCACATCAGTCCCACCAAACTCCTTTGATATCATCACGCTCATTACTCTCATCACCCTCCCAGCCCCCCCCCCTCCTCCATCCACCTTCCATCCACCCACCTCCCATCCACCCCACTCCCTCAGACACCATCCTCATCAGACCCATCTCCACACTGCCCCACCTCAATCCCCATCCCCACCCGGTACCGCGCATTCGTGACAGTCGAAAAATGCGCGCTACGAACCCCTTTTTTTGCCGCCACCCCATTCCGACCCAAGCAGTGGGCACGATGTGCCGCATTCTTGGCGGAGGGAGGATGGTATAGGGAGGAGCGAGGCCAAGGCATTTTCTCTACACATCCACCCTACCGTTGCCGGGGAGCATGCAACCGTGCAGGCGTGTACGGCGTCTCCGCCTTCTTTACCTTTACCTTTCTCTCGTTGTCCTCGCCATGACGTATGTGGTCAGCCCAGTGGCGGGCGTGGCTTGCACCAACGAGCTTCATACTTCCGCCAATGGACAAGTCTCCGGCACAGTCACCCACACCGGTGGCTACGACAACAATCAAGTCTGCACGTACACCTTTGATTATCTCCATGGTGGCGTGGAGTTGACATGGACCGCGTTTGATCTGGAGTCTGGCTTTGACTACATTCGCATCTGGGGCGGCGATACCACAGCAGACCCGGCATCGCCATCCGCTGTCCTCCTCGTTACCATGACCGATGGCGCAGAGAGCTACGTCGGTCAGACCATGTTCTTTGACTATCCTCAGCTGGTTGTCGAGTTTGACTCGGATGACGCCACAACTGGTGATGGCTTTGCCTTTACCTGGGTGAGGAGCCTCTCCACAGGCGCATCGCCCGTCACCCCGCCGCCACCGCTCGCCACCCCGCACTGTGTATACGCTCCGACTGGTACGCCCAGCTTGGAAATATCGGGCGACAAGAGCGTCGAGATGTGGGTCCACGAGCTCGATCTCTCCTACTGGTGGTCGTACTTTGACTTTCGGACGGCTACGGACCAAATCCGCGTCCGCCTTGTTCCTGACGCCGCGCCCGACGGCCAGTCGTCCGGTGCGCTCGCCGACAGGGCCCTGTCGTTCTCCACAGACATCAGTGGCCGCATCGTGTACGAGGGCGACCCTCCGGATGGAACTATCCTCACAGGTGTCGACATACACCTTGCCGGCACCTACGACGACAGCGCGGACATGTGGAAGATCTACATTGATGGTGTCCAGGTCTCCGCCTACATTGCTGAAAGCAGTCCACTCTTTGGCATCGAAGCGAGTTCGGCCGACGCACCAGCGGGCCTCCGCTTCTTTACCTCGCCCACCGGACGGACCTGGGACGTCCGCGTCTGGGACTACGAGCTCTCGGCAACCGAAATCGCCTTGCGCCGCTTCTCCACCCTCACTGGGTGTGAGTCGGGCCTTGTCGGCCTCTTCCGCCTTGACGGTGTCTCCGATCCCTCCAACCAGGCTCAGCTCGGTTGTGGCGGGAGCCCTGGTGCGGGCATCTGCAAGCAAGGCTATCGTACTCCGGCCGTCACCCACACCACGGTTGTCCACCCGGTCACTTGCGCCGACGGCTACGTCGAGGGCGCTGAGGCATGTGACGACGGCAACACTGACGCCGGCGACGGCTGCTCGCCGACTTGCACTCTCGAGCCGGGCTGGTCGTGCTCCGGCCTTGCTCCCTCGGTTTGCATTGCGCCGCCACCGCCGCCACCACCCTCCCCCCCTCCTCCTCCCTCGCCGCCGCCGCCGCCCTCGCCACCACCGCCACCCTCTCCGCCACCGCCGCCCTCTCCACCACCGCCACCCTCCCCCCCTCCTCCTCCCTCGCCGCCGCCGCCGCCCTCGCCACCACCGCCGCCCTCTCCTCCACCGCCACCCTCGCCCCCGCCGCCACCGCCCTCTCCACCACCGCCACCATTTCCACCGCCGTCTCCACCGCCCTCCTCCTGCGGTGACTCGGTCGTCACACCCGGCCACGAATCCTGTGACGATGGCAACACAGCTCCCGGTGATGGCTGCTCGTCATCATGTCAGCTCGAGCCCGGCTACGCCTGTCTCACCCCGGGTGCGCCCTGCACCACCTGCGCTCATCCCAACGGCATGGACTGCGCTGGCACCTGCGACGGCAACGCCATCCTCGACACATGCAACGTCTGTTCCGGCGGCGTCACCAGCCGCCCGCCGAATGCCGATCGTGACGATTGTGGTGTGTGCTTTGGCGAAAACGCCGCCAAGGACGACTGCGGTGTCTGCTTCGGCGCCAACGTTCACAAGGACGACTGTAGTGTCTGCTTTGGCACCAACACTACCTGCGCCGGCTGCGACGGCATTCCCAACTCGGGCCTCGTTCGCGATGTATGCGGTGTGTGCGACGGCGACGGATCAACCTGTCTCGGCTGCGACGGCATTCCGATTCCCTCGGGTGGCGCTCATTTCGACGCATGTGGCGATTGCGGCGGCAACGCCACTGTGTGCTACGTCGGTTGCGACGGCGTCTACGGCTCGGGCATCCACTACGACTGCCACGGCGTGTGCGGCGGCAACGCCACCGTCGACAATTGCGGCATGTGCGCCGGCGGCAACGTCTCAACTCCGCTCCCGTACAACTACCATCTCGACTCGTGCGGCGTGTGTTTTGGCCAGGATCTGACGTGCACAACCTGCGCGTCGGGGATTCTCGACGCTTGCGGCGTGTGCGACGGTGACAACTCGACGTGCGTCGGCTGCGATGGGATTCGAGTGTCCGACGGCGGCGCGCTATTTGATCTCTGCGGCGTCTGTGGTGGTGATGGCACGTCGTGCATCATGGGCTGCGACGGAGTCCTCGGCTCGTCTGCTATCTACGACTGCGTCGGAGTCTGCGCGGGATCCGCCGCCCTCGACGACTGCAACTCATGCACCGGAGGCACCTCGCTCATCCCCACCGCCAACTTTTCAAGGACGACTGTGGGATGTGCTTCCGCGGCAATGTCGATCGCGACTCTTGCGGCGTCTGCTTTGGCGGCGACTCCGATCGTGACACCTGTGGGGTCTGCCGCGGTGGAAACGTCGCCAAGGACGACTGCGGCGTTTGCTTTGGCTCCAACCTCGCCAAGGACGACTGCGCCGTCTGCTACGGCAACAACAGCGCATGTGTCGGATGTGATGGCATTCCCAACTCAGGCCTGGTCCTCGACCCGTGTGGCGAGTGCGTCTCGCCAGAGGCGCAGTGTCTCGGCGGGCGCGCCGCGTCGCAGGCTTCGCGACTGACCCCGACCCTCGGCATGGCCATGGGTGGCTCGTTCATGGTCCTCTGCCTAGTTCTCCTCGCTGCCCTCATCCTCACCTACCGCCGGCGGAAGCGGGCGTCGGTGATTGCCTACCAGGCGACGCTTGCCCGCAAGGCGCCGCAAGGTGCTGTCTTTATCATGTCGACCGACATTCAGGACTCAACCATGCTGTGGGAGACATGCCCTGAGGAGATGATCTACGTTCTCGACACTCACAACGCCATCATGCGCGGAGCTATCGAGAACAACGCCGGCTACGAGTTCAAGACCGAGGGCGACGCCTTTTTCGCTGCCTTTGCCACCGTCGCCGACGCTCTTCGCTGCTGCACTGCCGCCCAGGAACGCCTTTATGCCGCAACCTGGCCGGACTGGCTCCTCAACGCACTGCCGGATAGCGACGCCAAGCTGTGGAACGGGCCGCGCGTCCGCATTGGCATCCACTACGGCAACGTCTCGTCCACCTTTGACGCTCGTGCTGGACGGACGCAATACTTTGGCGGAATGGTCAACCTCGCGACGCTCGTATCAGACCTCGGCTTTGGCGGCCAGATCACCGTCTCGCGTCCGGTCATCGACGCCCTCGCCTCTGCCTGCGCCGCCGACCAAGCTACTGCGCTCGGTTCGTCACTGTCGATACAGGTCACGCCGCTTGCGCATGTCACCTTTGACGCGGTCGCCGGTACAGTCGAAGTCTGGGAGGTGCTCCCAATGGCGCTTGGCGGACGCGCCCAGGAGTTTGGCATGGAGAGGATAGAGCGAATTGCGACAACGGCGCGGCCCGTTCCACCAGAGGTGCTGGAGGGGGTGCTGCCGGCCGTCATTGAGCGCGGCCCGCTCATGACTGAGCGTGGCTCGAAGACTGACCGCGACGAGCCGAGCGGGCGTGGATTGAGTGCGTCGGCGCGCGAGTCGTCTCCAGACCTGCTCACCAAGCTCACGCTTGAGGCCGCGGCCCGGTCCGACGCCGCGCCGGTCCGGACCGGCCTCTCCACGCGAACGATGGCGCGGCGCGAGGTGACAACCGCCAGCCGGAGTAAGATCGTGCAGACTGCCGGCTCGGCGTTTGCAGACACCGTCCTCGGCACCTCATCGCGCAAGGCCCGTGTCGCCTCCCTCTCCACCCACACCACCCGCCGTCGGAATTCGATCCGCCGCATGCGCCGCTCACCGTCGTTCCGCGCTCCGAGCCTGCGCTCGCCTTCGCTCTCGCCGTCGCATTCGGTCGACATGCTTTCCAGCTCCATCGAGTCGGCCTCGCGCGCTTCTACCACCACCCGCCCACCACCGCGCGCTGGTACCCCGATGACCGCCTCGCTCTCGGCGCTCACCACCGACCTCCAGTCCGCACACTCATCGCCGCGCCGCCGCTCATGCGCAGCTGCTCCCGCCCCGCGCTCGCGCCGCAAGCTCGTCGCTCACCTCCACGCCCGCTCCCGCTCCCGCTCTGCGAAGCAGACCTTGCGCCGCAACATGACCGTGAGCGACATTGCCTCAGCTTCCCGCGCCTCACACGCCCAATCGCTACCGGTCGTGGTCGAGGAGCTATCACTTGATGACAGCGACGCCGTCTCATCCACCCTAGGCAACGGCGCCACAAGTAACCTTGAGTGCCGCTGCAGCGACAGCAGCAGCCCGTCCGACAGCAGCCCATCCACACAGAGGCCCATCGCCACCCAGTCGCTCTTTACCCTTAGCTTGAGGCCCAACTCGAACAATCGATCAAGCCATGGCTAAATCCCTAGACCCGATCGCTTCAACACACCCGTTTCTTCACCCGTTCGCCCACCACCCACCCGTTCCTTCACTCGATCGCTGCCGTTTCAACTCAAACAGATTGTGTACCGTTAACGCTTGACTCGGACTACGGTCCGAGTGACTCGGCAGCTGATACTAAGGCTCGGATTCTCAATATGAAGAGACCAAAGCAGCCGCGACGAGGAGAGCAAAGACGTGGTAGGGTGTGAGTCGGGCCATATATGGCTCGCCCCACAATATCTGCGCCGACATTACCTTCCTTATCCCCCTTCCTCCCTCCTCCCCTTCCCCTCCCGCTCCATCCCACCATCCCACCATCCCGCCTACTTTTTCCCCCCACTTTGTCTGCCTTCCCCCCCCCCCAACATACTGCATGACCCCGCCCACGGGATGATGACAAGGCTTGTCATCTTGCCTGTGAGATGCACTACTAGCGAAACCTCTTTTTACACCCGTAGCCGCCCCCATGCTCCGGCATGGCGGCCTTCAATGAACGATAACATACAAAGTCTCGACACCGATGGTCATGCACAGCGACCGAGTCCTTTTATTCTGCTTTCGACATAGTTTGACCCGCCATCAATAGCCCACAATAGTTTGCGCATTAGTTTGCGTACCCCGGCTCAAGCCATCAGTTGGCTGCTGCGGCTGCTGTCGACAGCGAGCCGACTGGTGATGGCGGCGCATGCAGCGGAGGCACAGCAGCCATGCCCGACGCCGATCGCGACGATGTCGATCGTGGACCCACGTCGGCGAGCAGGTCGAGACTCTCGCTGCTGCTGCTAGCAACGTCGTAGCGCGCTCCGGCCCGCGTCACCGACAGCAGCGGCGTTTCGCCAAAGTCGCCGCGTTCGTCGCTAGCGCCCGGCGCTGACCGCGCCCGAGCCGACGCCCAGCCAGCACCGGCACCGACTGCAGCAGCAAGGAGCGAGAACGCTATGACCATGCCGACGACCGCCGCGGCGGACCACGAGCTCCCGTCCGGCGCGACCGGCGGGCCCGGGAGCTCGGCGCAGTTGTAGAGCGCGCACACGGCGTCGCGCTTGGGATCGAGCGGGCTCGGCGGCGGCGGGCGCGGCGGCGGGGAAGGTGTCGGCACCGGCGCGTCGTGGACGCACGTGATCGACGTCACGTGCCGCTCGCACTTGTCGTCTGACCCGGGCGTGCACGCGTCAGTCACGTAGTTGCGCAGCGTGTCGGTCTGGTAGAGCGAGACCGAGCCGCCGCCGTCGAGGTTGATGGCGTTGACCACGCCCATGTCGACCAGCAGGTCGGCAAAGTCATAAAGATCAATGCCCGGCTCGGTCTCGACGTGGACAATGACCAGCGAGCCGTTGGCGTCGTGCCCGAGCGCGATGCGCGCAGCGTGGAGGCCGACAAACCCGCCGCCAGACTCTTGCGTTGCCATGTTCTCCGCCGCCTCGGAGACGCGCACGAACGACTGCCCGTCGCGGACAAGCCAGACCACCCCGGCCACCAGCGTGTGCCACTCGTAGCTCGCCGCCATCGTCTCGTTGAGGTAGCCAACCACGTACCGCCCGTCGGTGGTGATGCCAAAGTTGACGTTCTGAATCATCGGCATCTGCACCGCCTTGCCCTCCACAACCAGATTGCCCAGGCACGCGTGCGTATGCGTGTTGAAGAACCCGGCGTTGGTCGCCACCTTGCACTGCCGCGCCCGCGCGTTGGCCGACGTGCGCGACCCACCGTAGCCCTCTCGGCAGCCACCGATCGGCTCCTGGATCGTAAAGTGGTTCACCGGGTTGTCCAGCACCACACGATGTCCGCGCCAAGCCGCCCGCCACGAGTACGGCGCATGGTGAAAGGTGGCGACGTCAAACTCGGCCTCCATCTTGTCGCCGCCCTCGACCGCCGCCGCGTGCTCCACCGCAGTCGTATCAAAGCCTGCCGCCGCCAGCACCTCCACCGTGTGGTTATACGGCACTCCAGGCCCGTGTCCGCCACTTCCAGAATCGTTGTCGTCGTTGCCGCGCGTACTTCCTCCTCCTTTGCTTTGTCTATACCCCCCATCGCTGACGTCCTCGTACGGTCCAGGAAGCATGTCGCCGTAGTCGGCACGCGGCGACGACGCAGCACGCACCTCCTCCCTGCCGGCCTCCACCCTGCCTGCCACAGAGCCCCACACCACCATCCACACCATGCAACACACAAGCGCCACAGCTACCCGCATGCCAGCTTGCGTCGAGTCAAGTCGTGTCCGCCTCCGCCATAGCCCCCTTCAAAGTCCTCGGCGTCACCCGTCTCCGCCCAGTCTCAGATCGAGCGCATGACCGACTTGGTCCACACACGGCCATGCGAGGTGATGGTGCACCACCTTGATCGCCGCTGCGACACGCTTGCACCGCATGTCATCGCGGAGTCTTGATGAGCGGATACTGCCGAAACACATCCATTTCAAATGCCGCAACCATCTTCTTGAGCTGACCTCTACCACACATTAAAATGCAAGATCACATGACTGTCATCACGTTGCGTGTGACGTCTCTCATCCCCCCTCCCCCCACACGCCCCCCTCCTCCTCTCGCCCTCCATCGCCTGCACCCATCATCTCCATCATCCCCCTCTAGCCCACCCCCTGCCATCGTACCCCCCTCCACCAGCCCATCATCTCCACATTGCAAGCTCTGCCCTCCCCTGCCCTTCAACAATTTTTCCCCGCACCCCCCACCCGCAACCGCAACCGCAAACCCCCCTCCGCACTCGTACTCGCACAAGTGGCTCAAGAAAGGTCAGGCACGTGACCCCCACCGGTTCCCGTGCAACCAAGACCGCACACACATACACCTCTCCCTCTCTCTCTCTCTCGCTACGGTCGGCACCATGAGCAAGATTCCACTCAACCCTGTGCTCGACTTTGGCCCCTCGGTCTGGCCGCTTGTCAACGGACTGGTGGCGGCGACGCCCGGGACGCTCAACCTCGGGCAGGGCTCACCTGACACTGCGCCCGATTTTGTCGAGGCAGCAGCTGCCGAGGCTGTTCTTGGTGGACTCAATCAGTACACCGCCTCGCAAGGCCATCCTCGGCTTGTTGAGGCCATTGCAGCTGACTACGCGAGCTCGATGGGCCAGCCTGATCTGGGCGGAGCCAACGTGGCTGTGGCTGTGGGCGGGTGCGAGGCTCTCTGCGCCTCGTTCTTCGCCCTCATCACCCCGGGCGCTGGTGACGAGATCATCATCATGGAGCCTGCCTTTGACTGCTACGACAAGCAGGTGAAGCTTGCTGGCGGACGTCCGGTCTTTGTCCCGCTGGTCCCAGGATCCGGCGACGCCAACTCTTGGCAGCTCGACATGGCTGCCGTCGAGGCGGTCACCTCGGACGCCACCCGCGCCATCGTGGTCACCAACCCGCACAATCCGCTGGGCAAGGTCTGGTCTCGCACCGAGCTGGAAGCCATTGCGGCGTATGCGCAAGCCCACAACGTTGTCGTCATCTCGGACGAGGTCTACGATCGCCTTGCTTACGACGCTGATGCCCCCCACATCCGCATGGCCTCTCTCCCGGGCATGTTCGAGAGAACCCTCACCATCGGCTCGGCCGGCAAGACCTTTTCGGTCACCGGGTGGAAGATTGGATGGGCCGTCGGCCCGGCGCCGCTTGTCAAGCACGTCTGGCTCGCCCGCCAGTGGATGTCGTTCACCCTCGCCACGCCACTGCAGGAGGCCACCGCCGTCGCCTTTGAGCTCGCCGGTCCGGACGGCAAGCACGCTTCGTACTTTGCCGACTATGCCGCAGACATGGACGCCAAGCGCAAGGTTCTCTACGACGGCCTTCTCGCTGCCGGCCTCAACCCGATCTACCCACGCGGCTCGTACTTTGTCATGGCCAACATTGCCCATCTTGAGCCGTTCCTCCCGCCGCCGCCGGCCGACAGCCCGCCGGCCTCGCTCGACATGCGCTTCACCGAGTGGCTCATCGCCGAGCACGGTGTTGCCTGCATTCCCTGCGGCTGGGCCTTTTACTCAGCCGACCACGCCAAGCTCGGCGCCTCCTACGTCCGCTTCTCCTTTTCGCGCTCGATGGATCTTGTCGAGGCCGCCGTTGCCAAGCTGGCACCGCTGGCCGAGCTCGCCGCAACAACTTCGTCGTAGTGCATCGCATACACGGCGTTTACAAGTCGTCGGGGTCCTCGGTCGCAAGGCGCTCAAACTGGTACGCCGGCCGAGAAGCACACGGGTTAGAGCAGCCTGCGAGGAACTCGCAGTCGAGCAGTGCAGACGCCGGCTCGCCCTTAAAGTACGTCTGGTACGCAAGGAGGGAACCGACCGACGCGATGACGACAACAATGACGACAATAAAGAAGATGGCGACGCCCGACATGCCCGACGAGTCGGGCGACGGCGTCGGAGCCGGCACGGCGCACGCGCCGTTAGACGCGTGGATGATGACGTCGTACACGCAGTGCGAGGACTCTTCCTCAAACGAGGCCACAGCCTCATTCGCGCCCTCGTCGCAGAGAACGTGGATGTTGAGCTGGCGCCGGTCGCCCGAGTGGCACTCGTCACCGCCGGTGTAGGTCACCACGTAGCCGTCACCCGAGTCGTTCTCCTCCAACGTGGCAGTGGAGAGGTCACCGAGCGCATACATGTGCGCCTGGCTCGATGTTGGCGCATGGTCGTCGTCTGATGCGACCGCCTCCATCAGGATCTGGCACCCGGCCGGCGAGATCGATTTGTCCCTCCGCGCCGTGCAGTCGACCGGCGCGCAGATGTTCGACGTAAAATCGTACACATCGTCGCCAATCTGGATGCCTGCCATGTGATGCGCCGCCGTCGACCCACGCGCGAGCTTGTGGAACTCGTACACCTTGCCCGGGTGCTTGGCCGACGGCAGCGACGCCGCCGAGCACGTCACCGGCGGCGGCGGCGGTGCGTTGGGAATCGGGCACGCATCCGGGGTGTAGAGGTCAAACTCGTAGATGCAGTGCGAGGTCTCGCCGATAAACACCAGCTCTGCAGGCGGGATCGCGTCGCCGCTCACCTGGACGCAGTGCGCGTAGATGACCGTTCGGCGCTCGTCATTCGACGAGCACCCGTCGCCGCCGGTGTACGTCACCTTGAAGCCCTCACCAGGCGGCATGAGCTCCTCCACCGCCACCGATGTCGACGACCCCAGCGAGAACTGGATCTCCGGCGACACGTCCTTGTTCGTCTGGCACGCCGCGATGTGGTTGCCGCTCGCCGAGTTCGATGGGTAGCATCCGGCAACGGTACCGCACACGTTGACCTCGTACAGGTACTCAGTCCCCTCGTCGCCCATCCCCTTGGTCGTGTACGGTGACGATGCCGGCATCGCCACAGACTTTGGTGCGTAGTGGAACGCGTCGTCGGTCGCAAGAATCTCAGGGCATTCGGAGGTCGGCACAGGCGAAGGCGGGGCAACCTCCTTCGGGCACCCGTCTGCTGCGTACAGCGAGAAATCGTACTCGCAATGCGACAGCTCGCCCATGTACAACAGCCGCGGCTCAACGTCCTCGGGCGAGCAGAAGACCGTGATCCGCGACTGCCGCGGCGTCCCGTCGTGGCAGCGGTCGCCGTTGCTCACCTCGATCCGGTACCCGGCTCGTTCCGACGTCAGCGCAGAGAACGTGGTCGACGCCACCTTGCCCAGCGAGAAGTGCTTGCGCGAGCCGGTCGTCTGGCACACGGCAGGCGGGTCCGTCATGTCGGCGCCCTCGCACTCGACTGGCCCGCACACGTTGAGGTCAAACTCAAAAATTTCGTTCGTCGTGTCCATCTGCGTAGTGTACGTCTCGCCGGACGGCAGCGTCAGCTTCTTGGGCTCGTACACCACCTGCGAGCCGATCGGCGACCATGCGTCGCACCCGACCGGCGGCGGCGGGCCGCTCGCAGGCTTCGGGCACGCCTTGGTCGTCCGCAGCGTAAACTCGTACTTGCAGTGCGACGTCTCACCGTCATACATGAGCGTGTCGGCCTCGCCCTCGTCGGCGCACACCGCATTGACCGCAAACTGCCGCTGATCATGGTTCGAGCACTCCATGCCATGCGTAAACGCCATCCGCACACCGTCCTGGTCCTGGGGCACGTCGAACGAGTACATGATCGTCCCTTGCTTGCCCATCCCGTACTCGTGCCCACTGGCGGTCTTCTGGCATCCAGCATAGCCCGATTCACCTACGGTGGTGTTCAAGAGAGGTGAGTCACGATCGCTCCGCGCCCACGACCGATCACCATCGATCGCGCACTTGCTCGAGGAAGTAGGGGGGGGGGGTAAAGGGAAGAACACCAAATGCACCAAATGGAGGCGGTGTTGGAAGAAGGGTTTGGGGGGAGGGTTTGGGAGGGCGTGGGAGACAGGCGCAGGCGAGGGCGAGGGCGGGGGGAAGGGACGGGAGCTCACTTGCCCTTTGCAGCAAAAGGTCGTCAAGTCGGGTCGTTCCAAGCATTGTCTCGAGTGTGGAGATCAAGTGGAAGGGATGCAAGTGTGGGGAAAGGGGCAGAAATGTGCGGATACACCATGATATGGTGGGTGTGGATGGGAAGGCCGTGGGCGGGAAGAGGGGGAGGGTAGGGGGGGGGGGCTTCGGGGAGGGTGTGTGGTGGGCGCGGGAAGCCGAGTTCGGCGCGATGGGGAGAGGCAAGCGGCCAAACCGCACGTGACTGAAGGGAGGAGGACGTACCACCACAGGACATGGGCTCGCAGAGGGAGAGGGTGTACATGGTATTGCCATCAGAGACAGAGAAGGTGCCGGTGAGCTTGGAGAGAGAGTACACGTCGTCGTTATCGACAAGATTGTCTCGGCAGTCAATGGCCTGCCCGCTATGCGCCAGCGCAAGCAGCGCAACGCAGCAGAGCAACAGGACTCGCATGGAGAGAGAATTAGAGTCGAGTGTCTGACCATCAATCAATGCAATCATTTGATTGTTCATCCATTTCATTGATGACTCGCCGCACTCTGCACGTCACGCCCATCATGGCATTGTGGGCGTACGTAGCAGTCTCTCTTCCCGATCTGGCGGCCCTCTCTTCTGGATCGAGCACTGCCCTCCCATCATGTTGTTAGTGGCGAGAAGCAGAGGTGGTGGAACTGGCCAGGTTCGAACCTGGCCACCTGCAACTGCACGGTGTGGAGAAGAAGGGGCAATGCAGGACACACACGCCCAGGCCAGCAGCCACATACACATCACTTCAAAGGAGAAGATGCTGCGGAAAGGGATGAAGGCGACAGGATTGGTGGTGGTGGTGGTGGGTATGTGCCTCGCGGTGGCTACGGCGGCGCTGGTCTCGTCGCGGCAGTCGGTGGTAACCTCTGTGCCAGACGTCGGCTCGGACCATCCGTGCTACAATGTGGGTGGTGATCTGCCCAAGGACTACGAGCCGTCGGGACTGGTGTGGCACGCGGGGCTTGATCGGCTGTATGTGATTTCAGACGAGGGCTCGCTCGGCGCGTTTTCTCGCTCGGGCAAGCTGCTGGACTCGTGGGATCTGCCGGCGTCGGATCTGGAGGGTGTGACGGTCGACAATCCGTTCAATGGCTCGTTGCTGTTTCTGGCCCAAGAGTACCCACCGGCGCTGCTCGAGTACTCGCTGGTGGCAAACAAGCTGACCGGCCGCGTCATCAATGTCGTGGACTTTCCAGCCGATGCAAAGTCGGGCATGGAGGGCGTGACGTTCAACTTTAACACGGGCGTCCTCTACGCCGGCTCACAGTACGACGGCAACGTCTACGCGTACTCGTTCGACATTCCCGGCGGTCTACTTACTCCGCTGTTCAACATCACCACTCCGTGGGATCGCGACTGCTCCGGCCTCTCGTTCATTCACCAGCGCAACCAGATCTTTGCCGTCTCAGACTCGCACGACCAGATCCTGATCATGACGCCGGAAGGCGACATTGTGGCGTCGACGCCCGTGCCTGGTGACGGCCAAGAGGGCCTCGCCTACAGGGTCTCCAATGGCGGCACTGACGAGCTCTTTGTTGCCAACGACGACGGCAAGTCAGACTCGACCATGTGGCGCTACGACTACCCCATCGAGGCCAAGTGCTTTTAGTTCAGCTAGTCTGCTTGCCGGCTACTCCATCAAAACACACAAATACACGCGCACACGCACACACACACGCGAGCGCGCCACAGACCGGTCACCAGGTCACACGCGATCGGTGCCGCGCGCCCGTGCCGACCAGTCCGCGACCGCAGCAAAGCCCTGTGCCTCGCCGTCATAGGTGCGGTACGACAGGCCGTCGGTCTCGGCGCCGCAGGGGCAGAGCCAGAGAGCCATGCGCGAGCCAAAGAAGAACCGCAGATTGGCGGCAAGGCCGAGGTCATACGTGTGGCGGACCTTCTTGCCGCGACGGCGGGCGCGGCGGGCGGCGTCCTCAAACTCCCACGACTCGATGGTGGTCATGTTTTTGGTGGCCAGGTTGAGCTGGAAGGCAAAGAGGAAGCCGACGCCGAGCTCAACAAGAACCATGAGAAAGAGGGCGACGGCGACAATGACGGCAGCGCCCGGCGAGAGGTACTCGTCGGCGCTCTCGAGCGGGAAGAATGCCGTCAGTCGCCAGCAGGTCATGGCAAAGGCGTAGGCGATGGCGACGACGACGTAGAAGAGGAAGAGCATAAAGTTCTTGTGGTTGTTGTGCCCGACGCAGTTGTTGACCCACGGGCAGTGGTGGTCCATCTTGAGCACGCATCGGTTGCACATCGAGCAATGGTGGGTCCGAGGCGGCTTGTACGCATCGCACTTTTTGCAGTAGTGCTTCAGCTTGTTCCTCTTCATCTCCTCCTCTCCCATGCCCTCCATCGGATTCTACACGTGGCACAAAGTGAGTCGTACGCTCTCCTCCATCCGTCCAACGATAACTCGTAACGATCGCGGCTACGGAAGCCCTGTCCACCACCAACACCGACCACCAGTCACCATGACCGAAACGATGGCTTTGACCGAGCCGACAACCCATGCGGGCTGATGACGGCAACCCATGCCGACGTGGCCGAGTTGACCGAGTTGGCGGGAAGGGACAAAGGCAAGGGACAAAGGGAGGGGGAGGAAGCACAGCAGGAGGGACCAGCAAATGGAAGACGGTATATGTATGTAGAGGGTGTGGGGGAGCGGGGAGCGGGGGGGGGGAGGCGGGGGGGAGGGGGGAAGGGCGGGGGGGGGGGGGGGGT